AAATTACAGCTCAGAGAAGGACATTAAAGGAGGAACATTAGGGAACGTGTGGCTATTGATTCAAATCAGATGGGGAAGCAGAACAGGAGTTTTACAGCGCATACATAATGCAAGCTTCATGAAATAAAATAATTCGTTTTACAGTTTTTTGTTTCGGCAGAATGTGGTTTGCAAATATATTACTCTGCAGAGGATTATCTATCTACTCCAATCTTCACATCAGCATTTTTGTTTATTATCAACGCATGAAATTATGTTGTGCTCAACAAAAACTGATAAACAACTTTTGTACTGGACTTAATGCCACAGCAGCTAGATGCACAAAGGTATTGGAATTTTTTTTTTTGTACAAATAAACCACATTCTCTGAGGCAGCACTGCAATAGGGCTGGAGAGCTTAGCAAGCAAAACTGAGATAAACTGCTCTGGACTCATAGACTATTCAAACGCGTATTTACCTTTTTACACACAGAGTTAAGTCAGATTTGGATAAGCAGTTAAGCAATTGTTATCCATTGATTACAAAAACATTTAATCTTTTCTGGATACCTTTTGGACCCTTAAAAAAACCACATTTTAAATATTGAGGGATGCTGTTCTTTTGTGTAAGATTATTTTTGCTGCTAGGAGGACTTGGCTCTTACAAGAGGAGCACTAAATCCAAAGTTTCATCTTCCATGTTAAATAAATCAAAAAATCAAAATGTAATAAAGTAAATCTTGACAATGTAGAAATCATGTCCTTTCAATTTTTTTAAATGTTAATGTGGCTGACAGTTATTTCTCTTATTCCAATCACATAATCCTAATTACATGTAATTCATTACTACCCGACCCTATTCAGACATGCTGCAAACACACAGCGACACAAGCATCCATGTGGGGTCACTAAATGTTTTTTGGAGGCGGTGGTGGGGAGTACCGGTGACAGGTGCAGTCTCCAGTTAACTGACATGATGCAGAGAGACGGGGCCATGAGTCACCGCGGCCCACAGCGAGCTCCTTTGCTTAACCTGCTGCCGCTCATATAGGATTACCTATTAATAACCCTTCCACAGCATTCCCAAATCTACAGAGGGAAGGAGAAATCTGCCTTTGTCTGTTTTGCTCACGAGCATATTGAAGGCACAACGCTAAATCCTGCTGGTTAATAGATGCTCTGATGGTTTAGTAGATATTGTTAAAGCAGAGAGCTCCAACATATGCAGGCAGGCACATCAGGGACTGCGGCTCTGGCAGGGTTCGGCACACTTAATTGTTAATTCCTTCTTATTTTTTGACTGATGGGAAGGACTGTGAATAAAACCCTATCCCTGAAAGTAGCTCAGCAGCAGTCATGGCTGGCTGACTCATCACCTGGTATACCTGCATACATTCTCCACAGGATTAACTCATTAGCACTATTATCGTTTCAAATGGTAGTCCTCGGTATTATTTCTTTAAAAAAATCCTCAATCCCCTTAAGGAGGGACACAGTATCAAATAAATAACAAAAACAACGTCCACAGCTAGTATTTTATGTTTAATATTGTGTTTTTACAGCTAGGACTTCTGGCTCAGCATCCCTACATTAGAGGGAATCCATCATATTAATGATCCCGGGGCCACTTCATTATTCACACAGAAGCCGCTCGGCTGTCCAAATAAATTATCATTGGTGTTCCATTAATGGAAGTTTTCAAATCTCGCCGTGGAGGATGCCATTAATCTGCACACAGTGTTTCTCCAGAGTGGAACGATCTTTGCAGATGAGAAGCTCCCCACTGTCCTCATTCCCTTTCCTTCTGTGGGAGGAAGCCTAATTATGACTGACGTTAACTACTGAGGCTCCAGCCTGGATGGTGTCCCAAGTTGCACACATTGCATTTGCTTTGCACTGCTAAAGAGATATGTGTTTAGGGTAGAGCTTCAAAGTGGTGTCTGGAACTGTAGATGACGACCTCTCCCCTCCTGATGGAGCGCTTCCAGCTAATTCGATACATATTGCATTTGTGTGTTAGATAATTGCAAAGCCAAAAAGCCTCTGCTGCTCCCTCGGGACTCCCCCGCACATCCATCCCCCAGCAGCCCGGCACACAGACGTGCATGGGCCCACTTCCAGACTTGTGCTGTTAATATTCTGATTGGACATTTGTGGAAGAACCTTGAAGAGTCACTCACTGTGCAACTTTCTAACACTAATGAAATTGCTTCTCATAATGTTGGCATTCACCGACTATTATGATTTTCATTATGACAGCCTACTGTAGGAGTCAAACTCATTTTCATTTTCCCTGGATGTAAAAGGGCAATACATCCATTTCCTTTAATGCTGTGCATACCAACTCACTATCAAACCTTAGCAAATAACTAAAGTCAAGCTCTGTAATACAGCTCGCTGGGTTTAATTTAGGAGCCTGATAGCAGTGTTTACGGTAAACAAAAGGAGCTTTATGAAAGAGCTTTAGTTGTTTTGGTCGGGTCTTAAGCTCAATTCACTCTTTTCCCAAAATAAATCCACTGCCTGAAACCATTGATCTGTCATTTATTTTCCCACCTACATCTACTTAATCACCAACTGTACTGTAATTTACATACTCTGCACAGGACATGACTCAGTCATCCGCTTGCTAGCCAGCTCATCAGTGAATATGAGGCAAATGTAGCTGTGGCCTTCTTTCCTACTGTGAGTGTTCAGTTGGAGGCAGGCAGCATGCCTCCAGGTCTGAAGGAGCTTTGGTTTCTATTACTGCCAAAAACCTATCCCATATGCTGAGCCTCCTCCTGCTCTTGCACCTGAACCTGGCGTCGCAGGGATTGAAGTCCCACTGTTTTCTGCAAACTGACCTCTTTGGCCAAATAGATGCAACACCTGCTGCCGGCAATGAACACCAGCAGCAGAAAAAATAAGACTTGATTGACTCCTTTGCTGTAAACCCACAAATGTATCAAAATGATGCTGCAAATGTGTACTTCCAAGTATCCACAGTGATTAAAAAGTGTATTTTTGCTCCTGTTTCATCAGTCCCACGGGCTGTTTCAGTGGTCAGAGGTCCTCTGTTGGCATACGCCTCGTTAAAGTGTTTAATCAAACAGGAAATAATGCACAGCACGGCCATGTGGGAAAAGCTGCTTAAATCTCCCCTTTCTTTGCAAAAGCCGCCTAGGCCAGATCAAATGAAGTGGTTTGATACCTTCTCTGCCAATCGGATTAGGGTGATTAATTCCCAAAAGTGTTCAAATGATTAAAGCCGGTTAATGGGCCTGAGGAAAGTTCATGGTGTCAAGAGTTGGCTTCAATACCAAACATGGAGGAGGAGAGTCAATCAGTGGTAATAACTGTAAAAACATCCACTCCACTTTTGTTTTGTTCTTTGTCCATCACAATCAGCTTTGATGATCTTTTTTGTTTAAAAAAATTACAAGGCTCCGTGGGGAAAAGGCTTGACAAATTGTGCATCTGCTATGTAGTGACACCGTGCCTAAATATAGAGTGGGAAATGGAGCAGAAGAAAGGGACACAGTGTGGACCATAAATATTCACTGTGAATCTACACAAGTCTGGACCAAGAAGACATCTTTACTTTTCACAAATGATGCTTAATGTGGCACCACTGAGCTTGACTGGGTTTACCTTCATGGTCCGACATTTTAAGTTTGAATGTATTTGCAGATGTTCCTTTGCTATTTTGACAAATATCCTCATTAAAATACGTTGCTCTGAATACCGAGTATATATATAATATAGAGTAATGGATAAACGTTGACAGATTCTGGCCCCCTCCTCAGCCCCTCTTCTAATATACTCGTCTCCTGAGGGAGAGGTATCCATCAACAGGGACGGACGGGATGTTATGCCATGTCGCCTCGTGCATGTGAACACAAGGTGACTCTTGGAGGGACCATCTCATGTGTGCCCAGTCTTATAAATGCGGCTCCATGTTTCCTCCATAAAGTGTTCATCAGCGCCTTAATGCATCTCCCAGTGAAAGTGACAGAGCCTGGGCTTGCACATTATTAACTCCAGACATTTTTATGAGCCTGTGGAACAGAGTGCTCCTTCTGAATAAGATATGTGTCCAGTGTTCAGTGGCCATATATCAATCTTTTAGTTTTGGCCAAAGACTTACAGCCTCTGATAAGTTTTAGTGTGTTTTTACATGAGTCTAAACCACAGAGCCCATAAATACTGTTATGTCATTATTATTCCAGTGGGATCAAAACAAATTAGGCTTAGTTTTGCAGTGTTAAATCCATCATGTCAGCCATTTGCTCACATGTGAAATACATCCATATTAATGTTATGTAAACAGTGTTTACAATGATAAATGGAGACATGGAATCATAAGCAGCTTAGAAGAGAGGAGCTAAGGCACCACCAAATTGGCAGGCTCGTGATAAATGCATGGGATTTGTCTAAAATATTAATCAAATATAAATGTGCAATGAATTTATTAGTGGCTTCTATATTTGGAACCCATTTAAAGCCAAGCACACGACAGGGACCATGGTCAATGAGATTCATTTTCTAATTTGTCTGTCATATTTGTTGATATTATTTGAAGGGGAATCCTAAAATTCATGTAGCATTAGAAGAGCTTTAAAAAAACTGTCCTGTGAAGATTTCCTGTTGTGTGTTTTCAGCATTTAGTGGGCGTTCTCAGTAGGGAGCAATATGGAGCCCCCCTTGAGTCACATGGTGGTAAAAAAAAAGTGTGCAGACAGTCATTGGGTTTTGTAATTATAGCCTATTACGTTTCACAGTAGGATCACTACTAGTACTAACACTTAAACAGCTCATAATTAAGTTGTGAAAGTAATACAAAACAATGCTATTCCACCAGGAAACTAATCTTGTGAGAATGCAACGTCTCGTGTGATCTCAAATATATTTCAGGGGCTATCAACACTGCTTCAATACAATCAGCCAAAATAGCTCCTCTGGGTGGGCGATAAACCGCAGCCAGCACATTAGACACTGAGCTGGATGAAGACGCCCAGGCAAGGCACGAAGTGTTTGGATATGTCAAATCCGTGGTCGGTGTTAAGAGTTTATCTCGCGCCTCGTGCAGCCAATCAGCTGGCTGGAGTCGGCTCAGCCTCAGCCAGAGTTGTACTGGAGAGCCTGAGCTCAGTGTGATCGCCTGCTGTGCGTAAAATCTACCTGTCAGACGCAGCCGCGGTGCCATGGCAGGCAGAGCTAAGCGAGCAAAGTCCGGACTTCACACGGAATAAGTTGCCTTTGAACGGATGTTGCGCTGCGATGGCAGTTTTTCCAAAACTGATGATGTGAAGTGGAAAGGTGCGTCCGTCCGTCTCCATCGAATCAGTTGCGCCGAGGAACGATGCTGAGCAAAGCTGCGGGACGATTTTCCACTACAGGTAAGATGATTTTTCGGGGGTATTTATAGCCACTACTGTCCAAAAATATATATTCTTCGCCCATAATTCCAGGGTAGTTATGAGATCTTTATATAAGAAAAGAGAGCAACCCAGTAAAGATATGAAGATTTCCTTCATGATCAGATACAACAATTGTATATGAAGTATTTGCCTTTTAAATGAGAGGTAAAAAAACAACAAGATGCGATGTCATCAATATAAGAAAAGAGTGTGTGTGCGTGTGTGTGTGTGTGTGTGTGTGTGTGTGTGTGTGTGTGTGTGTGTGTGTGTGTGTGTGTGTGTGTGTGTGTGTGTGTGTGTTGTATGTATGTGAGAGGCAGTGATATATGTGAATAAATTATAGTTAAAAAAAAGACAATGACAGGAGAAGATGTATGTGCTAAGTGCAAATCTTCATGGTGTGAGATGAATTATTTGTTGGATGTGGTTTTTGTTGTCTAATGTAGTGTGTAATGGAATTCACTGTTATCTGGAGAGTGGCTCGGCAGCATGGGCGAATGGAGACCGCAGGACACAGTGGTGGAGATACTGAGCCGAGTCTTTGGTGTGTGTGGGCTCAGATTCAGCCACGAGCCCACATTATTCACGCTTTTGCGCACCCAACAGCTCTGACTGTGACTGCATGAGTTTCTGTTCTCAGGGGTCACAAGGCCAAAGGTCTGCTGCAGATTTGCATGTCTCCTCTGCAGGCCAGGAAGAGGTTGCATATGCAGATTTATGCAAACAATTACAGCACTCTGCAATAAATATCAGCTTATTCCTATTTTGTAGGTTTCTTGTGAGAGTGTCAGAGGCACTGATGTAATTCTTGAGGCTATTTTTAAGGTTTTTGCACTACAGATGGCATTGCATTTTTGTGTGTTATTTTGCCCAGCCTAGTTTGTTTGTGTCCAGGTCTGTGTGACTCAATCGCCTCCCGAAGCTCATAAATCAAGCCCTGCCATACCTCCTTTTTTTGTAAATGTCCAAAAAACTCTCAATTTCTTCTTGTAACCCACTCTGTAGCTGATTTTTCACGACAGCACTTTCAACAACAAAAAGCTTTTAATGACTCTGACCTGATTTGCTACTTTCTACAAATACCAAAACATGATGCAGTTGCCTCTGTGGCTTTTATCTTGTTTCATCGTCACACATTAATTTGATGGATGGGTTCTTTGTTCGCCAAAAGGGACTGGCCATTGGTGCTGGAATTGAAAACCAAAGTAGTTTTTTTGGCTTTTCTAAATCTGGACATGCTCAGATTTCACAGCCCTTCACTGGCAGACGTGTTGCCTTAGTGACGGCCTCTCCTGACATTGTTACTGGGCGTTTTTTTGTAACATAAAGCACACATTTTTTGAATCTTCTCCAAATCATTTGAAAACATACAGCAGGACTCTGAGAGGCCAGTTAGCAGACAGTCAAAGTGATCAGTATGCAGTGCAAAATACAGCAGGAACGGCATCGCTTTTTTTCAGATTTGTTAATATAAGCAGCCGTGACATGTGGAAGATATATTCCCCCTACATGTTTGTCTGGATCCGAGGGTGTGATATGCAACAGTTGAACGTACAGCAGATGGTGATTTTATGGCCCAGACTGGTGAAGAGCTTGTGAGAGGAATGCTGATTGCCAAGCCATATAAAATACTTTGTGTCCTGAATTCATGTCCTAGATTATTACATTACTGGAAACCATAACATTAAGTCTGACCAGAAAGCTATAGGATGAAACTGCATTTTCCCAAGAATATGCCATAATCGTTTTTGCTTTTAAAGTTAATATCAATCACATTTAATTGTAACTGTTCTTGTTTCCAGCTACCAGACTGGCACATCTTTTTTGGACTTCACTCTGTGATCTATTAGACGTTTGAACCTGCCAACATGGAGAGCCTCAGCGAGCTCCAGAACCCCCTGCTAGACAAAACCAGCAGACAAGCAGTGCACAACGATTACCAGGGCTACCAGTGTGACTACCCGGGCCAGCCCTACCAGGACAGCCTCATTGGCTACTACTACACTGGGACTAATGGCAAGCATAAGACTCAACAGTTCCTGGACGCCACATCTCTGCATCTGGCTGTGGAGGCCTTTTACAGGCCCAACTTCATCCTGTACAAGGACGACGTGAGTCTCCACAGCAAGGACTCCAAGAGTGAGAGCTTTGAGACCACGTTCACAGAGAGTAAGGACACTGGGTTGGATGGGGTTGCCATAGAGAACCCCCTGGATAGCACACAAGGAGAGAAGGATGCTAAGATACAGACGGTGTCGTACGATGTGGAGGAGGAGCAGGGTCCTGAGTATGAGGTCAGAGGTCACACTAAAGAAAAATGCATATTGCTTTGCAGCTTCAGTGGTAATATATGTAATGATGGATGTTGGCGTCTGATATACTGAGTCTGTACAAGCAGTATACAATTCATTTGTAGTCTGATACATAATTATAAAAGTTTTCTTACTCCTGCTACAAACTATATGGGAATAATGACTATGACTACGCTGCTCAAAGAGCAAATTGATGCAAGTATGGGCCATTTAGCAGCTCGAACTATTACAATGTGTTATATGAAATTAAAGGCGTTTCAACACATATTCCTAACTGTCAGGGACATCTTTCAGCAGAAAGTGAGTCATGGCGTGTGTAGTGATTCCTATTATTTCATTTTCCATTCTAATGGACTGCCAGTGTGTTTCACGCTCATTTCTCATCTCTAAATTGTCAATTTACTGGAGTCTTTTGAATCTAATGCAGGGTAATTGTTCGCTCTTTTTGTTATAATTACATTCTTTAAAAAAAATGACACATCTGAGATTATCTACGTTTTTGTTCTTTTAGGACTATAACTACTCTCTCCAAAGAAAAGTGAGACTGCAAAAGAGCAAAGTATTTTTCCGAGGTGGTGAAAATCGAATTTCATCCAGGGACGCTTGTAAAGTACCCAAGGCTCCGAGCTGGCAGAGGAAGACGTATAGCACCCTAACTGGGCTGATGATCGCGCCAGCGCTTGTCACTCGGAAGCCTGGCAGATAGATAGAGACATGGCAGAGACTGCCATTATTGCTATAAGTAAGGCCATGCTGTGAGGCTATTAGGTGGGACTGATGCATGGCTTTTGGAGCAGGTGAGCCTGGAGCTAAAGTTATTCCGAGTCAATTCAAAAGGGCAAATGAATCTGATGAACAGCGCTCAGATAAAAGTAGAATTTCCCAACTGGAATATGAGACTTCTTGCTCAGCAGCTGCGTTTCTTTATTTTCCTTTTCTGCACGACTGTATGTGTGTACGTGTGTGTTCATCGGTCTAATCTTCGTGAGTTTCGTGACTCATGGAAATCACACAAACAGTGCCAGATTTGTGTTGATGCATCAAACAAAATATTCAGAGGACTTTTATAGAAATGGAAACTTTTTTATAGAAAGGAACAGAGCATAGCCGGTCAAGTAACGACTTAAACTCCAGTAATACATTTAAGCACTATCACTGACTTGAACAAATAAAATAAATAATCAATTACAACTTGACATTAACTTCAATGGCCAGAAATGGATTAAATTGATAGATAACACTGGGCAGACTGTATTTCTTTGGAGGGCACTTACATACACATTTTCATAATTGGTAAAAAAAACTAAAATATGTTTAACAACCACATGAAAATCATACACATTTTTGCATCATGTGTTAAAGAATAAACAATAAAAACGACTACTTTAACATAAAAATGTGATTCAATACTAACAGACTAATATGCTACACAATTGAAATGCAGGTACTTAATGTTTAGCCAACAACAACATAAACTTCAGTTCATTTAGAACAAAGACGTTTATGACAAACGCTGTAGCTGTTAGCAAAAATGTCTAGCAGTGGCTACAGCTGAATATAGTCCGTTCCATGTTATTGTGGAAACAGGAATACACAACTAGCTTCCTGCCAGTTGAATCTCAACTTGCTGTAACAACTGTTCCCACATGCATCCCCCATAACCTGATTTTGAAATGTAGCGTCCTGTTAATGCAATGTTCTCATGCCAGTCCTCCAATTCATGATTGTATTCTTCAATTTTAAAACAGTAGCCTGGTAATGTTGTGACGGGCTACAATGCTTAACATAACAATTGTTTGTAGCAGTAGCCTGCATATGAGACTTTTAGGAAACCTCAGTAAAAAGCAGCGCCTACCAATAGTCTACATAGGCCAGTCAAATGTCGTCATATGGGCTACATATATTGTATTTTTTATGACAAAAATATATTCATATATATTTCAATATTTTCATTATGAAGACAGTTGAGGTTCTTTACCCCTCTGTTTGGGCCAATGACTTGTGTTTACTTTGGCTTCAGCTTTTTGAGTTGAAAATGCTTTATACCTTCCCCCAAGCCCAATGGTTGAAAAGTATGTAATTTAAAAAGGTCTTTCCCTACATTTTCTGAACAACCAATGTAACTACTTTATTCCCATCTATTCAAAATGTATTTCCCAGATCCACTCATCCGATTAAACGTAATATATTATTACTCTGATGTTCAAATGTGCATTTCATTTGGGGAAGAAGAAGGACTAGAGTGCAACAACTTGAGACTTACTTGACTTGCAAAACAACCACTTGGCCCAACCCCTGCTTCATTCTAAATTGCTAATATTCGAGGATATGGTCTACGGCTGTTCCATCATAATACTGGGTTTTTTGCGGGCTGTCTCTTACTGTAACTCGTAATGTTCGTGTACATTCCCATGGTGCCCCATCCCTTGTTAGGACTCAGAAACACACAGAAAAAACACCCTGTATAACATTACAATAGCTAGCTTGTCAGCAGATGTTTGACATCTTTGTGACACAGCAAAAATAAATTGCAGGTAACAAAGTAACAAGAGCGCGTGTGTGTGATTTCCACAACTAACAGGGTGTAGGGGGCCTGTGTGCCCTGCTGTGGAGCCGAATGTCCCCTGCAGACTCTAACGAGGCCTCAGAGTGCTGTGACAGGGTTGTTAAGGCACTGGGTCTCCACGGAGCCCCATCACTTACTGGCAGGAGAGCAGACTGGGAGTGTATCCCCAGCCAGTTGGACTCAGTGTCAGGCAGACTGTCAGTGGTCCTGAATGCACCAGTCACTCACAACTCTTATCGGGTCTTGCTACAAAGATAAAAGGAGATTACTGCTGTTTGTACCCACGGGTTTAATCATGTGATGTCAGATTATGTGGTTATGACCAGCTGCTGTTTTGATGGATCACACCCGGCTGTCCAGGTGGAGAGCGTTCATAAAGCAGATAACAGAGAGCTTCATAATCTTCTCTTGGCAAAGGTAGCTGTTTGGATAGCACAGCACTGCTATCCTCCACTCTAACATCTAAATAAGGTTTCTAGACAGATAAGTCCAAAAATAGCTCACAATAATTACATTACATTAAGTGGTTTGGTGCATCTAGATCAGATTAAAAGCTAAGAAAAAGAATTGTGCTCAACTTGACAATAATGAGCGTTCCTCAGTATGGTTCTTTTCTGCTTTGCACACCTCTCCTTTAATTACCTCTAAAATGGCTGGTTCAGTTCCTGCCTTACATATTGATTTTTGTTTTGTGCCTTTCTTTTCCCCGCTTTGATTAATCCCTGCAGGCAGCAAGACTAACAAATGAAACCTGCTCCTTATGGGGGCTATTTATTTAGACAAACATCCACTATGTCGCCGGGACAGCCAAGAGAAGTATGGCAGCGTCCTCTTAAAAGGTCACCCATGCAGTCACATTGCCATCCTCGCTGCAGGCGTTGTGCCAATGCAGTCTGAGTGGCGTTCAGATCTATCATGCATTAACCCACTCAGCTCTTTCCGGCCAGATTATGGAGGCCCAGTATTGGGAGTCATTTGAACATCTGCTGTATTGTAAGATGCCAGGTGTATTGAGGAGAGATGGTGGAGGTCTCTCATGCTGTAGAAGCAATTTAGTACATAAATGACACTGTCTTCTTGCTGTTTCCCCCGTCACCTCGCAATGATGGAACAATCCATTAATCCCGTGTCATCTGTCAGGCCGCTCATGGGTGTTGACAGAGGCACCAAATCCTTTCTGGACGGCTGAGCACATCCTGTCCTGGATGGTGGTGGAACAAGGGTAGACACACTGGCCTAGAGGGAGGGGGGGGCACAAGTTGTCAAGCTAAACCACTTTGAAGATGTCCAAAATACACCCGATATCTACACATGTCAACCGTGCCCCTCTATTATCCAGGTGTCAGTCTCAAGATCACTGCACTCACCTTCTGGCTCAGTTTTTCAATGTCTGTCTCAAAGATTGTGCTTCGTAATTCAAGCAGACATGTCTAAAAAGTGCAACATCCTCTTGTTTTCTGACAGCTAATGATTCTTCATCAACCTCTTTCAGAGTGACAGCTCCAGTGACAGTGAGAGCGAGGACAACTTCATGGTGCTGCCCCCCCGCGATTACCTGGGCCTCGCCATCTTCTCCATGCTCTGCTGCTTCTGGCCCTTGGGCATCGTTGCCTTTTACTACTCTCACAAGGTAAAGGCCCAGAGACCTCAAGCCTGTCATTAACTCCCATTACACTGCATCCTGTTTAAGGTCAGCGAGCACAAGCACTCAGACAAGTGCATACGGCAGCCCATTTTCCATCCTGTGACCCTCCCTGCAGTTGTTTCAGATGATTGACTATGTAAATTCAGCAGGTTCAGACCACTTGTCATACCTCTGTATTCACATTTAAACCATTAACATTGAGGTGTTGGTCTGCGGTATGTTCTGTGTGAGCAGTGCACTGCCATTACATTATTTTAAATGGCTGCAGCCATAGCCTATAGTCTATCGTCAGCATCTTTCTGCTCCGAAAAGATTACAATCGCATCTTCTGACCTCAAGCAAAGCACAGCATTATCTTAATGGTTTTGCAACATCCGAAACCATTATTTTCAGAGGCAATTATACTGTAGAAGAAAATAATGTGTCAGAAGAATAAATAAAAAAGGGAAAAGAATGTTTCATCATTAACCAAAACACCCAAATAACACATTTGTCACCGTCAGAGGGATAATGACCCTAATTGCCATGGTTACTAATGGCTTCCCGAGATAATTTCTTGTTTTCTCTCTTTTAACTGTGGTTATAACACCTACTCATACATTCTGTGCTGATGAGTAACACACCGGCTCATTTCACTCTCTGCTTTGTTTTGTCAGACAGGCAAGGCTATTGCTAAGGGAGACTTCTCCAGAGCCGGGATGGGCTCCAGGAGAGCCCTATTCCTGGCTGCTCTTTCCATCACCATTGGAACAGGGATGTATGTGGGGGTGGTTGTGGCCCTCATAGCCTACCTGTCAAAGCCTGGACACGTATAGCGCTGGGTTTGCTTACAGGGAGAGAGAGAGAAAAAGGAGGCAAGATGGGAGGAAGGGAAATGGCGAGTATGGACACCTGATGGCGCGTGCCGGAGAGAAGAGACTTTACCAAAAAAGACGGAAAATAAGAGAACAAGATGTGTGGATGGAATAAGATTTGGACAGCATATTCATTCAAACAAAAATCTTTACTCCTGGGATGTACCACCACAAGAAGAAAAGCGGAGCAGGATGACTACTTCCATAAAGACTGAGCTGTACTAATACGTCAGAAAAAAACTGAGCTCATATCAGTAAAGAGCTACCTTTTACCACATTAGTCATTTACAGCAGTTTTATTTTTGTCTTTATAGATGTCTTCTCTGCCAGTACTATTGCAGGTTGTGTATTGTCTACCGTAAATTCATTTATTGGGAAAACAGTCAGCCAGTGGGCTTTAATGTGGTTGTTTGTTCAAGGATTACACAGTCAATGGATCCAGGCGGTAAACAAAGACGCAGACTGCTAATAGAAAGAATAAAAATGTACACAAAGTTTCTGAGCAGTTGTCGAGAGGGTGTTTTGTGTTTATTGTGTGCTGTAAAATTCAATAAATAAATTTGGCATGAATAATTAAAAATCCTCTGCCTTGTCTCTCAGGCACTTATTTATTGTCTCTACGAGAAGAGAGTGTTAGAGCAGCGATTACCAATCAGGGGAGATTTTACTTCAGGGGGTATGCGATGCCAGGGGGTATGTGGAAAGATTAATCAACTAAAAATTAAAACAGCAAAATATGTTTACAAATTGGTGTGATGCTAATCTCTACTCGTACGCTGCCCACGGACCAGATTTTGAGTTGTAAAACATTGAGATCATGGTTTCAAATGTTCAAAACACCAAGTTATACCCTAATTTGCTAAATGGTTTTGTTTGCCTTTTTTTTACACTAATTATTGTTGTAAAATGAAGTAAAAAATTCCCCAAAGGCACAGGCAAGGACTGTAGTATGGAAACAGCAGCTACTTGGTATTTAAAGTCATGCAAAAGGCAATAGGGGCCAATAATTTAACCTCCCACCCCTGCTGCTTAAAGCTGTGCTGACACACGATGGACAGACTACTGCTGTAGCCTCATATCTTGGCCCCTCTTAAATGTCCCTCTGAGGCACAGCCTGTCCTTCTCCGGCTCTCAGCTACCCATTAAAAAGGCCAAAAGAGGGGAAGGGGGTATGTTGACTAAGGAATATGATGCTGCTTTATGAGCAAAATTAAACGATACCTCTGCATTTTGACAAGCTTAAGAAGAAATACAACTTTTGTGTTCATTGAAAAAAGTCCAATACAGAGCCCTTCAGTGGCAGAGTGAAACAAATAGTATTGAGTAGCACATTTCTTCAACAATACTTGTGTTCACACAAAGTGTCTTTACACTCACTCCACTGCACAAACCCCATCTTCCCACAAGATGTCCACACAGTAGATTTGTTTCGTACTTGCAACAAATAGTTTTTTCACTGTAATGCAGATTTACATTTTCTCAACACAATGACATGTATGTTGAGTGTAAGTGATCGCAACTGAACACCAAGTGCATCTGAAAATGAAATATACCAGCCAAATATAATGAGCACACAGATTTTTACATACAGTAGAAAGGAATAATGACACACATGCAGGCCATACATAAAAGACATAGCCATCAGGTTATTTTCACTAAATAATTTAATTAGGACATTTTATTATTAGGAATAGTTTGACCAGTTTGAAGCCCCTTTGTCTTTCAGATTCATGACATACTGTTTCTTAAAGGTGGGGTAGGTAAGTTTGAGAAACCGGCTCGAGATACACTTTTTGTTATATTCCATGGAATGCTCTTAACATCCCGATAGCAATGAATATCTTAAGTGCTTTGACAAAAAATCCATAAAAAAATGTCATCTGTGGAAGCCGTCGTACTGTAAAAAGCACGACCAATCATTTTAGCCGGCCCGGCTAAAATAACTGGATGGCCTACCTGCCTGTCAGCCTTCCATCTGTGCACAAACTTATCTCGTGCCCTCATTGGTCATGTGCGCGTTCGTGTGTGTTGGAGGAGGGGCTCTATAAGGAAGTGGCAGATTTTCTCCGGTTGTGGATTTTCAAATTCTAGCGATCTCGAGCCGGTTTCTCAAACTTACCTACCCCACCTTTAAACAGCCCAAAAAAATAAATGTCTTGATTTATTTACTGCATGTGCAAACAATAATGCAGAGAACAAGTCATGTTGACTCAAATAAAATAATCCTGGTGGACACTTCAGGACCGCCAGTCAGTCCTTGTGATGCTGACCTCCACCTGCATACCTTTGCACAGGTGGTGGTGGTAGCACTGGATCTTCTTCCTCAGCTGACACCAAGATGTCCCTCGCAGTGATGCAAATATTACGGAGCATTGCACACACTGCAGTGATCCCAGGGGCAAAGGTGTGATCCACTTCCAGGGCTTTGAAGAAGATCCCTCGCCAACGTGCCTTCATCCTGCCAAAGGCCGCCTCTGATGAGCGTTGAAGCGCTTCTTTATCTTCTCCTCTCGGGTTCCCAGTATGGGGTAATGAGGTTAATTGGTGCACTCAGAGATGGGTATCCTCCATCTGCAGAGATAAACAAACCAGCTGGTGGGTTACGACGCCTGACAAAAAATGGACTATTTCTGAGCACCCTGGGGTTGTGGACTGAAGCGGGGTAACCCACAAATATGTGGAGAAATGTGCCAGTGCTGTCACAGATTGCCTGAAGCTCGACAGAGTGAATGAGTTCCCTGTTCAGGTAATCTTGTGCACGTGGACCATGGGGAGCCTTACTGCTGACGTGGCATCCATCATTGTCTCCCAAACTGTTCTAAACAACGGGTTGTTGGGGAGGTTTTGAAAGCCATTGCTGACTTCCGCATGCTGAACCGCTGTGGGGAAGTGGAACACTTTTTCTAGGAGAGACAGGTTTGAGTTATGTGGGACACAACAGTGTGAGATCATCCATGTGCCAGCCAGCAACAACCAGCCATCATGGGGAATCTCCATATACTATTCATTTTTCTAAGTATTTTTAGCCTTTCGTCTACACCCAAAATAATCTTAAATCACTGAAATCAGAGCTAAAACTCGAGTTTTTAACTTGAAATGTCAAATGTGTGTGCTATTTTCTTTTCTGTGAAGCATCACTAGTGAGACAAAACGTTGTGCAAGAGTGGCACATAAATGTACAGCTTATCCTCCACCATCAGGATGAACAGAATGTGCTCAAGGCAAATGCATACATAGTTTAAATAGCTAGTTCGGGAATAAATGGTTGAAATTTGAACACATTCCTGCCTCACCTAGCTTGCACTGAAAATTGGAGCAAGAGACATTCATTCACAACATCCATCCAGTTCATTATCCATACAGTACGTTTTTGACATGATGGCTTTGGTCGATGAAAGGGTAATTCAGCTCAACTTAAAGGCTGTCAGGGTACATCTGACAACAAAGGAACCAGTGAACAAGCCATGGAAGACATGAGGTAGAGAAGCCTGTCAGAGTGTATTGTCGTCCAAAGAGCATTATATTGACAATTTGCCATTGCTGGCACGAGCCTTTGCTGTAACTGGCATGGCTCCTCATCGTCTTTTGGCATCACTCACTGTCTGGCCTTGACGTGACTTTACCTGCCACAGTGCTTGTGAGTGTCAGGAACAATGCCTGCTCTCTAAAGTCGGCATGTGTGGACAAAATGGGAGCAGCACTTTATTCCCCTCCAGGGTTTGAAAGGACCATCATGATCATCCTGTTCTATTGCCCCACCTGCCATCCAATCAGAACAATGTCCTGCAGAGCCATAGCTTCCTAAACCACTCCATGCCCTTCAGGTTTAACGTGCAGACAGCTTTGATAGCTCGAGAAGCAGATGAGAAAATATTTACTACACCTATATACACACATACATACACACCCCAAATAATTTACTGCACCAGGATACATGGAGCAGATGGCAAGATAAGCACGTTTTACAGGAAAGCTTGCATAGCCTGACCTCTGTTATATTTGTCTGCTTCCACTTTTGCAGCATCTCTTCAAGCAAGTCTCTAATGCATGAAATGTGGCTCGATGGGGGAGACGGGGGCGAAAGTGCCGCTCTCATCAATGGCAGCTGTATGGGCTGTTGAAGTGGGCTCACTGTGAGCGAGTGCAGCGCTGCATGTGTTTTCTCTCCCTCAATAGATAGGGAGCCCACGCTGCTCGCTCACTCACAGCATCCATAGTTAGCTCAGACCAACAGAAGCAACCTGATTTTATTAGTCATATCCACCCACACATGAATACAAACTTTCCAAAAGGCAGCATCAGGTTGTACTGTATAGAAACTTCTGCAAATATTTGAGTATGTTTGTTTATGGGCAACTCAAGTCGATTCTAAATATAACCCTTGTGACTAAAATTAACTGAAGTCTGTTTGTGTCGAGGTTATACCCTAAAACTGTCCCATCTAGCAAATGACAAAGAATACAAATGGATGGTCCTTCACAGACAACAGAAGTGAGAAGCATTTCAGAGGAAAAACAATGATGAATGGGATAGACAAAATGGAAAGAAGCTGAAAGTGGAAAGACAAAAATACATTATAGCCGAGTGCTACATTAATAAGGAGCATGATGCTCTGACTGTTCATGCGACTGAAAGCCATTTTCTGTTTCTTATCGTTGCTTTGATGAAATACCTGTCAACACTACTCTCTGCCTGTGGACAACCGACCGACGTGCAAACGATATCTTCAGTTTGTGCCATGCCTCTCCAAAAGAGGATTTATTAAACAAAAAAGCTTTGAATGAAGACATGGTATTATTTTTATTTGATTGACATTTGATAGAAAATCTATTTTTTAAAAGCCATCAAAGAATTACCCCAGTAAAATAATATAAAAAATCTTCTGGAAAACTTGAAAACAAGACTCTGACACATTTTCAACTCACCAACCAAAACCACAATGGGAGGATGTGAATGAGGAGAATGGAAACTGTGTCCTGGATTTCCAAGCTGTTGAGGAAATAGTATTTATGTTGCTAAGGCGCTGTATTGTATAACATATTAAATCAGAACAACATAGTTCATTTGGTAGATTAGAGAGACTTGTATGCTGTTTGAAGTTCAGATATCATTTTTCATGCCGGCAGAGACATTTAATGTATTTTTGATTATTTGAGAGACACTTTCTGGGTCAACAGCAGCACCAATAACTTCTCTGGCAATTGAAGAAACTAAAATCAAGCCTGGCGCCCACTGAGGTTTCAACAGTTTACACGCAGATATGCAAAGCAATTAGCATATAAAGGTACTAGCTCAGCATTTCAACACGCCAGGAGTTTCAGACACTGGTTCACATCCAGAGCCAAACCGAGATGCTTTTTTACTGCAGCCAGTGGGTGGATTTTACCTTAGACGAGCTTAAATTAATGACCTGGTGACCCTCCTCTCGCATGTACAGAAAACTGGACTTTACAAGTTGTTAGTAGGCCTATGTCTTTTTAGCTTAAGTGATATATACATGTTTATACTGATACTTCCATTGAATGCTACTTTTAACTACTAATTCACTTTCAGAGGTGAATAATGTACTTTTTA